AGTGAATCTCAAGAACAATGCCTGCTAGAAAACCAGTAGGCAGGAACAGCTCATCCTCACTTCACTGTAGCTCTAAATGAAGCTAAGTGGTTTTTGTTTGTTTTGTTTCAAACAAAGAAAAAAGTTGTATTAAATGGGATTTCAGAGAATGTAAATATTAAGTTTCTTAAATTTGAGTTGCAATCAGAATTAAATATACCCTTCTTTAGTGTCCTGTGCAGAAAAATTAACTGCTTATATACTGATCCTTCTGGTCAGCATCCTCTACTGCTGTTAACCTTGGGAGCTGTACAAATAAAAACCCATTTAGAATTTGAAAACTACCACTTACAGAAAAGTCTCTTAAGATAACTACATAAATGGAGTCATCAAATACTTAAGAAAGTCAAAAACCTGACTCCTTTTTAAAAGCAGTCAAACAAGAACATCCTTGTGAGCTTTTCAACAGAAAGAATTCATGTATTTTCCTTTGCAAGCAAAGATCATTCAGAAGTAAAAGAAAGCAGATTTAATGTCAATAACTTACCATCTTAAAGTACAACATATTAGTCTTAATTTAAAAGAACACCTTTGCTAGGCAAATTAATCTTCTCACTCATTCAACAGTTTATCTCACTTGAAACACCAGTGTCTATATAATTAGGGCTCAGTGACTAAGCAGTTCAGCAAACATCATCTACTTCCACCCAGTTCCATTCCTAATTTTTGACGCTGCACAAGGTACATCCTGCCCATTATCTAAGACATGCTGTAAACAGCACCAACAGACGGTGAATTCTACCAGCCATTCTCATAGTTGATAATGAGAAAGAAACCCTAAAAACTAGAGAAAACTGAACAGAAGGTCTGAAAGATGCAAAGAGGCTGACAAAAAGCAGCTCTGCTGCCAACACATCAGGCACGTTTTGTTTTTCACATAGCCTTTCAAAAACAAAAAACCATTCATTAGCAATAAGTGAAAACACTTTTCATTCTTAGCACAATACTCAAAGTCTTAGGATGCCTCAATAGCCAAATCACTTAAGATTTCCACAAGTCAGCACCACAAGATACACTTCAACTAATATGTTTATTTTCCACTAGAGCTTCATTAGGTACTATAAAATACAAGCAGTGGGAAGTCATGATACGTATGGAGACCAGAACTAAAGCAGCCTCTGGCATCATCCTTTGTATCCTTTCCTTCAGAAAGACTTGTCTGATGTTTAATACCCGGCCTCTAGCTGAGACTGAACATTTGTCAGAATTACTGAGCTTACAGTGGTCAAAGGATGAAAGTAAGATGCACAGTTACACATCTCTTAGTTAACTTGCTAAAACAAGTATGGATGTGCAGTGCTAAATAAGTTTGACCTTAGCCCAATCAGGTCTTACAATTCAAGAAGATGCAGTATCAGGTTACCTGTTACAAATCATTTCTTAAAACTTGATACATCACACTAACACTCTCTCCAAGTCAAAACAGTCTAAAAGTCTAAAAATCTCCAAGTCAAAAAAGTCTACTACACTGTTTCATAGTTAGATTTCATTTTCTATTTATATTACATTTTCAAGAATAAATCCCTTCTGGTACTATACAAGCCCTTTTACAGAGCGCTTTTTTTTTTTTTTAATAATAGAGAATGCACCTTTTTTTCCCCCCCAAGTGTTTTCTCATCTTCAACATTGAAGTATTTCCAAATTCACTTCCGTAGTGTCATTTCTGCTACAGTACAAGAACAAATTGCTGGTAACGTAAGCTTTTGCAACCTTCACACATTTTCCCTGGAGTATTCAGCCTATATCAGGTCAGGACAACTAATGGGAAATGGTTTTAAGTTGAGGGAGGAAGATTTAGGTTGGATGTCAGGGGGAAGTTCTTTACTATGAGAGTGGTGAGGTGCTGGAACAGGCTGCCCAGAGAGGTTGTGGATGCCCCGTCCCTGGAGGTGTTCAAGGCCAGGTTGGATGGAGCTCTGGGCAGCCTGGTCTAGTATTAAATGGGGAGATTGGTGGCCCTGCATGTGGCAGGGAGGTTGGAGATTCACCATCCTTGAGGTCCCATCCAACTCTGGCCATTCTGTGATATGTTGCAGGTCATAATTCTGCAGTTATTCCAAGAAACTTAAATAACATCTTTCTTTCTAGAATGATACAACACTAAATTCAACCGTGACCAAAAAAAGTAATATTTTAGCATGGCTAGATGTTTTACCTTTTCTGCAGAATGAAATCATGAAATGAAGGTTGAGTATGGTTCTCAGATGTATGTTTTCCCCTTCAAATTGAAAATATGTCAATGCTTGGCAACATTTGGAAAGAGTTACAATCTTGTCATATGCTGCACAAACAGCATACTTGGATGCAGAGGGGAGGTTGTGGGAAGAGGATAGGAGAAAGATCTGTCAGTGCACAGCTCTTATCCACATCCACTGATAACTGCATTCTATAAAACACATCCTCAAACACAAAGAAGAAAGTATTCTCTGAAAGCAAGTATAAACATCCAACAGCTTATGTTAATTATCACGAGAGATTAGAGGTCCACAAAAGGTTTAATACTAAAATCACTTGCAACTTGCCTTTGTGCTTTGTTTCTGTTTTGGGGTTGTTTTTTTTTTTTTAAAAGAAATGGGAGTGGATGAAATAGTAGTATTGATTTATAGGAGCCTCAGGCTTGACCCAAGCAGCTGCCTCAGACCATTATGTAGCTAACCTCTTGTCAAAGACTGCTGCAATACAGCAGCACTGACTATAAAGGAGACAAAGCAGCCTTAAGACCAAATCATAACTTAACCATAACGTTTGTGCTAAGACATTCCTTGTGGTTCCAACCCTGCTCCCTCCCCAGACATGGGATTTGCTTCAGATTCATGGTCCAATAATGCAACATACTACCAAGAAAAAGACCCAAATCACACGAAAATGTATCCAGTCCTCTATGAGAAGATCCACGATACACAGGCTTAATATTTTGACATTTTTTTATTGAAAGACAACAGAACAGCAGCATTTACAGTATTAAGTAAAATGTCAAAAGGAAGTTAAGCAGAGGATAAAAGGGCAAAAAAGTCATTTCTCAAAGGAAAGAAATAGCTAATTTCCAAGTAGTGTTCAAAAAGTAGAAAACACTGTATTTGAAAATTGAACATGAAATTTCAGATCTTAAAACTGAAATTTTCATTCTGAAATGAGTTTGCTGGGGTTTTTTTGTACTTGCAAGAAAAACTCCATATATTCCAAAATATTCTGTAAGTGAATGCTTGCTCTTGTGAGTAATTGAAAGCAATAAGCTTTTGAATAAATGTGAAACAAGTGATTGTTTTTATCCTCAGATTTTAGTTGTTTTAGTTTTCAGAAGTAGGATATGTACTGAGTCAAGAGTCAGTGTAAAAGTCGCCCTATTATTCAGTTCAGAAGCTTAAAAGAAGAATATCTATTTTAAATCCCACAGACAGGATAGCAGAGCATTTCCAATTGGAAAAAGCTGTTGTAGCTTTCCATTGTGGTAAGAGATCATATCATAGATTTTAAATATGCACTAAAGAATGTTATTAAGAATACAAAAACTATGTTTTTAAAATGTTGTAGTCAAATTCTTATCCAGCCCACTAAAAAGAACACCACATTTATACTCTGTACTTCTCAAGCCACAGTAATAGCATAGCCATAATTTCCAGTAAAAACTGGTGTTACATTTAGCTGTACAACACTACTAATTACAGGGTAATTTCAACAATAAATATTTGGTTACACTCTGCTTTGTCATCAGTGCAAGTAATTTAGCTGAAATTGATCGCTTAGAGAATCCAAACTTCTCTTTTAGAGACTATTTTTATTTTCTGGTAACTGAAAATTTTCTCCTATAGAACATTTCTCTAGAAATAGTGCTTTTCAAACAGAAAACCACACGGTGTCAGAAGCAAAAGGGAAGATTCAAATCTAGAGCAGCAAAGCAATTCATGGTTCCTTTTAAACCATCCTTAGCTAGCCCTACTTTATTACTCAACACTGAAGTCTAACAATGACCTTACACTGCACACAGGCTGCATCACTTAATAACAATTAGGTAAACTAAAGTCAAGTTATATCACACCATCCTTCAGAAAAAAAAAAAATCCTGGGAAGAAACAAAAACACAGAAGAATGAGCACCACTGTAGCTATTATATCAAGTAAAACACACAACCCCACAGACGCTGACAATAGTCTCTAGTTTTACTAAAATCCTCCTGCAATGCTTCTTTACAAGATCTCTGAAGAGCCAAGCTACTCTTAATGAAGAGCAGTATCTTCCCTCCATTAAAAAGAAAACTAAGAGACCAAAAATAAAAAAAAAAACATCTACCTGCTTCTGAGAGTATTCAGAGACAGACAATCAGTATTTACACAAGAGGTCAACTTAATAACTCAGGCCTTCATAGCATCTCGTATAGTTGAGTCCAGGTACCATCTGTTATGCCCCCCAAAGAAAGCTGTGATGTGCAGAGCAGAGGGTAGGCACCTGAACTTCTCAGACAAGCTCAAAGGCTCCCTACAATCAAGTGATCTACTCTGATAAGATCCAGACCCAGCATTGCTCCAAAAACTAGAAGAAATAAAAAAAACAAAGCACAGAACAGAATGGCTATTTTTTGATTACTCCGTAGCTGGTAACCTGTGTTCTGTTGATATGACTTCCACATGTCCTGTAAATCTTAACAATATACTCAAACATATAGTGAACATTAATATGGAAATCAGTTGCTAGTAAAGTTACTATCACACAGCAGTTCATAACACAAACACTGTAATTAAGAAATCAATATTTGCTAAAAGAAAAAATACTCACTGTATTGTTAATATGCTGCTTTCTGTGAAATATTACAGAATTGCCACATTCAACAGTTTAAGTTTTACACATTAAAAGCTAACATGTTTATAAGAAGTTTAAACAGCCCACAGAACTGCTGTTATTCCCAGTGTTTTTACCCGGATAATTTTCTGGTAATAAAAATAAAGACAACAAAAGTCACAAGTTACCTTTAACACCACTAAAAGTCTTGAAGACTTGTAGAACACGATCCAATTATGACAACTGGATAACAGCGCGATATCTTCTTGATCTACAAAAGAATACGGAATGAAGTTTCTAGCCAGAATACAGCAATCATCTCCCCTCCAACCAACTGATTTGGAAAACCAGAAGAGTGAACTTGTTTTAAAAAGAAAAAAGATATTTCTCATTTAAGCACTTCAACACCCTGCAAATACTAAGGAGGTGACAACCACAAATTTAACTTGCAGTTTCATTTCTAAAGTCTCTTTAAAAGCTGCATGGCAGTTTAACTCATTCAGTCAAAAAGAGACTTTTTCTACAGAGAAAGAACTGATCCCTCACAATGCAGTTTGACTACTTGTACAATCCAGGCCATAACACAGTCGCACACTCCCACAGGCCCTTTTCCTACTTCCATGTCTTTCCTTATGTCTAGCATACAATGAGCAACTTTTCAGCTTTGCTTTTCTTGGGTTCATTCTGCCTTATATAGGGAAGAAAACCCACCTCTCCCTCTTCATCTCCCCCAAAAACATAAGATCAGCTCTAGAATGAAACTACCACTTGAATTAGTGCATCTTTTTCTAGAAAGCACTTGATTTCACTTTAAAAATATCTAAAAACAGCATATACGCTACATTATACAATCTTTGATAACATTTTTACCCTAGTGAAATCTACAAATGATAAACTAAGATATACTAAACTAAGTGATAATCTCACCTTCTTTCAATTATGAGGGTAATACTGTGTACTACAGATAAGCAGCAGAAACTGTTTAGATTTGCTTTCTAGCCAGTGAACCATTTCATAGCCACATTACCCAAGCTCACCCATGTTACAAGTGCATCACCTATCTCTGGTGACAGTGACAGGGCCCAAAGGAATTCTGTGAAGTTGTGTTGTGGTGGGGGGTTAAGTTGAGTGTCAGGAAATGGTTCTTCACCAGAGGGCAGCAGGCATGGAACAGGCTGCCCAGAGCACTGGGCACGGCCCCAGGTGCCAGTTGACAGAGTATTTGGATACGGCTCTCAGAAACACTATTTGATTATTGGGTGGAGCTCAGAGTTGGACTCAATGATCTCTTCCAAATCAGGATAGTCTGTGCTTCCATGACCTATCATTCTTTTATTCTGCTTCTTCCCCTGTTCATAGTTGAATAGATTGACACATTTCCTAGTTCTTGCAGTTCTTTAAAGTATTCCCAGTTATACACAAAAACAATATTTTAAGAGTAATATCTCATTGACAGAAGTAAAAGCAGAATTCAAAAAAAAAACAGAATCCTGTAAGGACCAAATTCAGAATAGAAAGACATGATCTTGTCACATTTTATATGCTGCTTATAAATTTAGTTTGATATTATTTGAATAAGAACTTACAGCAATATCTCCTTTAAATGTCTAAAACATGCCCATAACACTTTCCTATGATCCATGCTTCTCATTCTTAAATACATGACTCAGGAAGAGGTCACATGAAAACGGACATTTTTACCTATATCCACACTCACTAAATAAGTCAAACCATACTGAATGTAGTAATTAATACTATGGAGTTATATATTAATAAATCAAGTTATTCTTCAGGTTGCATCCCAAAATGAGAGCGATTTAAGCCTACAGTATTGCCACTAAGATCCCAGTAAGATACTAACAGGTCAGACTGGTTTCAGAGACCGACCATTATTTGCTCCTACCATTAAAGCCATAACAAGAAGTGGAAATAAGAATGATATTTCTTATGGATTAATTGCAATTGCTGAGGACTTACCAAATCAGAGGTGGAACAAAAAGTATATTTCTGAAGAAATGAAACTTGTAAGTCTATGGCTTGCAGCCCTAGCAGTAAGTCTACACTGTCCCTCTCTTCTGATTTCAAAATGCACACATGGGATATGTACTTCTGCAAGTCCTGTCTAGACCATTATAAATTGCATTATTACAGTGCAAAATCCTCTGCCACGGGTACAAACTGTCAATACAAGCTCTGAGATCCACAGCCTCTGAAAACCAGGAAGGAAAGGCCTTTTCTAAGCTCAAAGGGAACTCAACTCAGCAGAAAGCTGTAATTCATGCAAGAGAGCAGCTCAACTTCTCACCATAGAGAAAACAGCACAGTAAGCAGAAATGGAAATGTTGGAAAGAGGAGAGCAGCAGCTGAAGCAGAACACTTCAGCCGAATACCCTTTCATCGGATTCATTCCTATGTAACATGGGATGGCACAAAGTAGGGTCTGCCCAGCAACAGGTTGGCTCTGGAGTTTAAGGACAGAGTTCATTTCCTACTCAAAACTTTAAAACTTCGCGCCAAAGGATGCAGCTGTACTTCTTGAGTATTTCCTATTACAGAAATACTTCATTTCAAACCCTCCAGGGCTAGAAATATACAAGCCTATGAGAATTTCCTGAAAGCTGTTGTGTAGAGCTATGGGCGTATAGCATTACTAACGCTCTGGCAGCACACATGCTAGCAGACAAGAAAATGAGGCAGTAAAGCTAAGTAAAGCACTACATGTCAATGAAAGAGCTATAGATTATACGTTTTTAATTAAGAACGGGTCTTCGGCAGCTTTAAAAGAAGCAAAGCCATCTTAAGTGCCCTGTTTACTAGCCATTCCAATTATCAAAGCACCTCAACACTGGTTTATTCACTGGCTGGCCATCGCTTGCTCCCAACCAGCAGTTTTATTTCAGAAGCTCTTTCTGGAAATCATAACCATTAAGATGCCCAAAATCTCAAACCACCCCCTTTTACAGACCTCCTTTATGTCTCGGCAGTCACTTACAGAACACCGGCTACCCAGCCCGCTCTAGTCACACACAGACCCTTTCATTTCTACACCAGGTGCCCACGCTACGTGCAGCCCTCGCTGTGTGGAAGCTCAGCTAAAGGAGATGAGAACACATCTGGGGACGACACCCGATCCGCTTCCCCGCCTCGCAGCCTGGGCCGGGCGGGCAGCACGGCCAGCCCCAGCCGGCCGCGGGACGGGCTCACAGGACGCCAGGCTGGCCCCAGGGCCCGGCAGGGCGGCCGGAGGCAGCGGCGGCGCCGCGAGGGAGATTCGAAATCAAGCGCCGAGCGGCAGCCGCGCGCGGCTCGACCTCCGAAGGAGCGCTAACGGCTCCCAGCGGCCGCAGGAGGGGCAGGGGGGCTCGGTGAGCCCCGGGCCGCAGCCGCCGCGCCGGACGCGCTTCCTCGGAGCCGCTGCCGCCCCCTGCCGTCCCCGCTCCACCCCTGACGGGCCCCGCTCTGACAGCCCCCGACCTCCCGCCTCCCAGCCGCCGCCCGGGGCCGGGAGCGAAGCGAGGAGAGAGGAAGCAGGGAGCGCTGCCCCCGAGGCGAGCAGCCGGCCCGGCCCGGCCCCGCCCGCGGCCCCCGCGTCCCGCGGCGGGAGGAGCGGGGAGAGAACGCCGGCGGGTCCGGGGCTCGGCGGCACCCGGCACACGGCCGCCTCCGCAGCCCACGCACGGCGCCGCGACCGCTCCGCGTTCCCCCCCCTCGCCTCCATCCCCCTCCGCTCCTCTCCGTCCGCTCCCCACCGCCGGCTGAAGGCGTCGACCCGCAGCGGCTCCCACCGGTACCTGCCGGCCAAACGGCCGCCGCGCGCCCGCCGCTCACGTACGAAATCCAAGTTCCCAACCGCAGCCGTCAGCCCAGCCCGGGAGAAACCCCCGCCGGCTCCGCCCCCCGGCCAATCCGCGCCCCGCCGGCCCCGCCTCCCGGCCAATCCGCTCCCCGCCCGTCCCCGCGCCCCGCCTCCTTCCAACACCTCCGCCCCGCCCCCGAGTCGGGCCGCGCCCCGCGCCCCCTTACCCCGCCGCCATTGGCTGAGGCGCCCGTCAATCTCAGAACGGGTACTCCGCTACGGCCCCGCCTCTGCTGCCGCCAACGGCTGCCGGACGTCTGGGTTGGGAGGGGGGCTCTCGCCCGGCGTGGTCCGGTGGGCAGTTGCTTGATTGCCTGTGTTAATCTCTTCGTTCCAGCTTTCTCCCAGCATAGGAAAGAGTTAAGCTTTGGGCAGAGAGGTAACGCTCAGGCCTGCGCTTGGTGCATGTGTATACAGGAAAGAAAGGCAAAGCTGAGAGAAACACAGCAGTAACAGGTGTATAAAATCTGCTAAGCAGACAAGGCCTCTCCTAACTTTGATCTTTTTTATTTTGCTGGTTAAGAAAATGATTTGCACCACACAGTCATACTGAATTTACAAAGCCCAGAACGCAGTGTCTGCTGCCCGTACAACTTCATCATTTCTATGCGTTGTCACAGAATCACAGAATCGTTACGGTTGGAAAAGACCTCTGAGTTCAGCTAGTCCAGCCATCTGCCCAGCACCACCATGCCCAGTAACTCACGTCCCTAAAAGCCACATCCATAGCTATCTTGATCGCCTCCAGGGACTCCACCACCTCCCTGGGCAGCCATTTCCAATGCCACGCTTCTCCTTCAGAGATGAAATTTTTCCTAACACCCAACCTGAACTTCCCCTGATGCAACTCAAGGCCATTCCCACTCGTCCTATTATAACCTGAAGTTAACCAAAAGCTTCCCACCTCACCTCCATAAGCACACAGAGTAGATTTTCTGTTTTGCAGCAAGCAGTGCAGTAAAGTAAGCAATTTTCTAGGTAACCTCTGTGTCATGATGGAGAAAACTGGAATAAAAAGATAAAATGAAGGGAAAGAGAAGTATTATGACTAAGGCTCTGAGTGTTCTTTAGAGAATTCTAGAAAAAAAATCCTTAGATCTCTAAACATTCTTTGTCAAAAGTTTCTGTGTAGTGCTATGTGTCACGCATCACTTGAGTCACGTTTTTTGAGGAGATGGAGGGATATATCTTCACAGTGACAGTTTTAGCATGCCAGGTTCTCAATTATAACAATTATTACTACTGGAAATGAAGTCAACAGGCAATGCACCATAAATATTTCCATATTCATACTATGAGTATTTCATAATATTTAAAATGGAGAAATCTAGTCCTGTTTGATGCTTCGGAAATAAAAGTGCATTGGCGTTCTATTAAGGGAAATTAATGTAAGTACCCAAGAGCAACAGGCCACCAGCAATGACCAGAGAGCAAGTAGAATTTGGTGTCTATGCTTAATTCAGCATTGTTCATTCCACACGCAGTGAAGGTTAGGGACCAATAATTAAAAAGTGAGTTATAACACATATGCACAAGCAGTTTTAATTCTGGTATTTACTAAGAATATTACTTGATCTTGTAATCTTCATGTTTCATCATAGCATATAATTTAAATAAATCTAACTAAAGATTTTTCAGTATCACTCCATATTCAAAAACAATTTTTTTTTTAAAGCCTTTGACTCTTTTAAAGAAGGGATGGAGAACCACTTTTCTCTTTCGAGAGAATCAATCACTGTGGTTCTTTCTTTGATATAGCAGATGTTACAGTTATCACAGCACAACCTGGGTTAGGATTGTACTTCTAGACAGTTTTTATAGCAAAACAATCTCCAAAGCTGTATTTATAATCTTTTCTGACTTATTCCTCAGGAACTTTAATATGAAGGAAAGACAGCCAAATTTTCTTCAGTTCCACAAGAAAATAATACAAAAAAAAAAAAAAAAAAAAAAAAAAAAAAAAAAAAAAAAAAAAAAAAAAAAACGACCAACCAAAAAAAACCCAAAAAACAAAAAACAGGAACAACTATCCCTAAAGGCTTTATTTACAACCACAATGGGAGACACTTCATCTGTGCAGCTTTTAATGCTACCTGAATTTCCACTCTCCCATTTGCTGTTTATTACTGCTAGCAACAATCTGGCTGCCAGTATTTAATGCCATTGGCCTGAGGAAGTTTAATTGGCACAACACAAAAAACAGCTGTGCCTCTAACAGTCTTGTTTTCAGTAAGGTTCCCAGTGTTGCTAAAACCAATGGAAATGCCTGTAGTGAAGTTTCCATAGATTACAAAAATCAGAAAAATTGTAACAGAGACGGTAACTGACTTTTGCATCTTTCCTCAGACAGCCTCAGACATAACTCTTGAGAAGCCCAGTTAGCAGTGTTCCCCCCAGAGAGGTTTGTTCACTCTGATGTTTCTTCTCATGCTGGTTTTAGGCCGTTTGTTTCTGGAAAAATCTGCTGCCTTATAACAAACTTTCCTTCTTCTCTGGCACATAATTTTAGGAAACTAAATAGCCTGGGAGTGACATTGGCTTAAAATGCAATGTTCCTTTTCTTTAAAACACATAGAAAATAAAATTTAATATCATTTTTGGTGTATGTTCTTTTATTATGTGGTGTACACGGCCTAAGGAGCAGAAGGATACAGATCGTTTCATAGTGACAGTAATGAAGCATCCAGATTATCAAATGCCATTCCATCTACAGCATGACAGGTGGCCATTTTCCTTGGCTGTTCATTTCTGGATGCATTGCTACTGCACTTGCACCAGAGTAATGTCATTAATACAGTTTCAAATATTCTCTTCTACCATATTTTCACTCTTCCAAGTTTGTAGTTATATTTTGCGTAGATACTGAATTGATAAGAGCACTCTGTTGTTGCATTCAATTTGCCAAATTTCTTCAACGTGCTGATGCAACCAAAGCACTGTTTAACAGAAATAAAGACTGCAGCAATATAACTGAATGTAAACAGCAAATTTGAACATCATATTGGAGCTGTTGTTTGTACAGATGAGAACTCAAAATGGCTGTTTGTTCAACTCCTGCGAATTGGCTTCTTAGCTTTACCTAGACAAAATTAATTTAACTTTCCCTTTGTAATACTTGTCCTGCAAAGACTCCATGTTAGTCTGGCAACATAGTCATTAGCAATAAAATAAAATAAATGAGGGAATAATATTAATTTCAAATCATAAATTATTTGATGTTAAAAGAAAGAAAGGCATAAGGATAAATACTCACATTACCTTTGTTGTATGGAAGTATTTCTCCATCTTAAAGGTTTTGAAGAAGAAACAAATTTTAAAAAATTCCAAGTAATGGCTGAAGTAAGTAAACACAATAGCAATAAAACCACATAACTTATTCCTAGTTTAATATTGTAAATACTGTTAATTTTTATTTGTTTTAAACTTAATTACTAAGCCCCACCATTGTGGATTTTATTGAGTAAAATTCTGAGTGGTTTAAAACCGGTCCTGAAAGAGCACCTCTCTCCTTCTTCCACAAAGTATTCTTATAGATGGGAATCTTAGGAGGGAATAAGCTTTTGCTCTCTGGTAGGGAAGTGTATCTCTCCTTTTTTGTTCATAGATGTACCAGAGTCTGCTGGCACATCTGCTTTCATGTCTGCTGGTGTTCAGCAAGGCTCCAAGGAAAAGTCGATGAAAATATCTTCTGCAATTATTAGAGAATATGCTACAGCATAGAAAATGCACTCTAGGAAAAGAGGTTCATTGTACTTGAAACTTTTCTGTGATAAACCTGTGTTACCAATCCTCTCTATTGGGTTGTACTAAATGATCTCCAGAGGTACTTTCCAACCCGTCCGATTCTGTGATTCTGTAACTGTCTTTTCTGTCTATTGAGTCTTCATATGTGCAATGGTATAACTTGCAGTCAGTGTCTCAGGGTTACACAATCTACACACATGCACAAAGTGATGGGAAAGGTACCCAAGCATCACAGGAAAGGGTGTTGCTATTGATTGCTGATCAAGGAATGTCATTTCCAAATGTGTGATTCTGCTTTGCCTTTCTGGCAGTAGAATAGTGCCAGATTCCTTCCTGCCTTGCATTTTGACGCATCAGATACAGCCCCAAACAAGAGACAGATTACATTGCTGTGGTTTGAAGGCGTGACTTTTCTTATTGCCCAGCTGTGGTGCTGACAGGAGGGACAAATGCAACAATCCCACTCTGACAGTTATTACACGATGATTATAAGCTGATAAACTTAATTGTGGGGTTGTTAAATTATTAAGATTCCAGTATTGCAGACACTGCCTCTGTCCTCTTCGCTGTGAGTGCACCTTTTGAATTGCTAAGATTCTTTTGGGTTACTACTACCCTCCCTTGAGGATGGACCTCAAGTTAGTACAAGTCACCCCTGTCAAAGGAGATGTTGACTGGCAGATCAAACTGTTAAAGAAAATAAGCTTGTTTTTATCCCTGGACAAAAAGGCACACCTTAATGGCTTCTGCATCTTTCACAGCAATGGAAGTTGTAGAGCTATGTGTATTACATGCAGGGGGGGGAAGAAAAAAAAAAACACACCAAAATAACAGAAAACTCAGAAGATGACCATTATGCATTGTAGGGTAAACATAATTCATTTAATCCCTTTACTCAGCTGTTGTTAATGGTCAAAATCTGCCCCACTACATGAATTCCACTGATCACAAAAAGCAAGTAGTACAAAGTGACTGCTGATGTGAAAAGCCTGTGTTCTCTCGATGTTGCTGCTTGGCGTTGCTACAGACAGGGTAGTGAAGCGGATAACACATATTGGCATGGGTAAGTGGCAAGTGTTGCCGAAGACCTAGATTTTGTTTGTAGAGCAAACATCCACAACACACAGAAAGACCCAACCTAGCAGACCAACCAGGCCTCAAAGCCAATTATGAAGAATGAAACGTAGTTGGAACATTGTCGTGTGGTAATGAGGGACAGGATGGAAGCCATTAATAAAGAAAATAATTTACTTATTTAATAGCTGAACATTCACTGGAGACTCCAGAAAATAAGTACA